TGGAGAAATTGGACAGGGTCCAGAGAAGACCAATGAGAATGATTAAAGGTCTAGAGAACATGACCTATGAGGGAAGGCTGAAGGAATTGGGTTTGTTTAGAAAAGAGAAGACTGAGGGGGGACATGATAGCAGTTTTCAGGTATGTAAAAGGGTATCACAAGAAGGAGGGAGAAAACTTGTTTATCTTGGCCTCTGAGGATAGAACAAGAAGCAATGGGCTTAAACTGCAGCAAGGGAGGTTTAGGTTGGACATTAGGAAAAAGTTCCTAACTGTCAGGGTAGTCAAACACTGGAATAAATTGCCCAGGGAGGTTGTGGAATCTCCATCTGTGGAGATATTTAAAAGTAGGTTAGATAAATGTCTATCAGGGATGGTCTAGACAGTATTTGGTCCTGCCATGAAGGCAGGGGACTAGACTCGATGATTTCTTGAGGTCCCTTCCCGTCCTAGTATTCTATGAGCTTTCGTGGGCACAGCCCACTTCTTCAGATGACCGGAGTTATGAGTTTGGGATGGGAACACTTGAAATAAATAGAAGAGGGGAAGGGGTAGGGAGAAAGAATAACAGAGGGGGGTGGGAGACAGAGCATCAGTAAGTATCTGAAGAATGGGCACTTATACCTAAGCAGATAAAAATCAAAGTCAACAGATAGATTCCCATGTCAGAAAGGATACTACTCAGACAGCTGTTAGTATCTTCAATGGTTGTTAAACTGGTAATGTCCTAACCAACCTTCATCATGACTGAGTCCATTAACATGTGAATTGAATTTGCAGATGACCTGTAATTCCAAGGCTTCTCTGTGGATCTGCTTGTTGAGCTGGTTTGACAAGACAGCTACTTGGGAGTTCTGTCATAGTATGATTTGGAAGGTTAAAATGTTCACCAATAGGTTTCTGTATGTTTCCTTTACATATATCTGATTTGTGTCCACTGATTCTTTCCCACAGACACTGTCCAGTTTGTCCAATATATATAGCAGTGGGGCACTGTTGGCATTTGATGGCATAGATCAAATTACTGGATGTGCAGTAGTTATTACTGGTTCAGAGTCATGCTGGAAGGGCATAAGAAGTGGAGTTTCCGCAGGGGTCTATTTTGAGACCAGTTCTGTTCAATATCTTCATTGAACAGATATTGGCATAGAGAGTATGCTTAATAAGTTTGCAGATTATACTAAACTGGAAGGGGTTGCAAATGCTTTGAATGATAGGGTCATTATTCACAATGATCTGGACAAACTGGAGAAACAGTCTGAGGTAAATAGGAGGACATTTAATAAGGATAAATGCAAAGTACTCCACTTAGGAAGGAACAATCAGTTTCATACATACAGAATAAGAAGCAACCGTCTAAGGAGGAATACAGCAGAAAGGGATCTAAAGGTCACAGTGGACCACAAGCTAAATATGATTCAACAGTGTGACACTGTTGCAAAAAACAAAAAAACAAAAAAACATGATTCTGGGATGCATTAACAGGAGTGTTGTGAGCAAGAGATGAGAAGACATTCTTCCGCTCTACTCTGCACTGATTAGGTCTCAGTTGAAGTACTGTGTCCAGTTCTGGGCACCACATTTCAAGAAAGATGTGAAGAAATTGGAGAAGGTCCAGAGAAGAGCAACAGAAATAATTAAAGGTCTAGAAAACAAGACATATGAGGGAAGACTGAAAAAACTGGGCTTGTTTAGTATCCTGTCTTCCAACAGTAGCCAATTCTGGGTGCTTCAGAAGGCATCAACAGAAGAGGCATTCATCAAATGATCTCCCTGTCACCCACTCTCAGCTTCTGGCAAATAGAAGCAAGGGACACTATTCCTGCCCATCATGTTATGTTAGTGAAGGAATGAATAACATTTCATTATTCTATATTTCCATACCATTCATGATTGTCTAGGCCTCAAACACATCCTCCCCGCCTCCCCCCCTTTAGTCCTTTCTTTTCCAAGCTGAAAAGTCCCAGTCTTATTAATCTCTCCTTATATGGAAACTGTTCCTTACCCCTAATAATTTCTATTGCCCTTTCTGTACTTTTTTCCAAATCCAAGATACCTTTTTTTAGATCTGCATACAGGTATTCAAGATGTGGACATACCATGACTTTTATATAAAGGCAATATGATATTTTCTGTTTTATTATCTAATCCTCTCCTAATGTAATGTGAAGAAGTAGGTTGTGCCCATGAAAGCTCATGATACCATCTACAATGTTTTGTTAGTCTTTAAGGTGCTAGTAGACAGTTGTTTTTTAATATTCTGTTAGTTTTTTTAGTTTTTAGACTGCCACTGCACATTGAGCAGATTTTTTCTCAGAACTCTCCACAATGACTCCAAGATTCCTTGAATGGTAACAGCTATTTTAGATCCCATCATTTTTCTGTGTATAGTTGGGATTATATTCTTCCATGTGCATTAGTTTGCATTTCTCAACACTGAATTCCATCTGCCTTTGTGTTGCCCGATCACCCAGTTTTGTGAGATCCCTTTGTAAATCCTTGTGGTCAGGTTTGGACTTAACTATTTTGAGTAATTTTGTAGTATCTGCAAATGTTGCCATCTCACAATTTACCCCTTTTTCAGGAACTCAGCTTGCCCCCCCCCCCAACCCTCCCTAAATGGCAACCAAGTTAATGGGAATTTTCATGCTAACTGATGAATACAGCAATACTCCATGTTAAAATTGTGTCTCAAGTTCCCATTAAACTTGCCAATTTTCAGTTTAAATGCCTTGGTCAAGTCAAACTGCATTGGGCAATATATTAGTACAAAACTGGTCATAACACATTTTTTAAATAATTTCTCTGATACCAAACATGTCACTTATATAATACAAAATGCATATTCAGTGCTCTCTCACCTCCGTGGTGAAATGGCATGCCAAGATTTCAAAACGTCAGCAAACCAAATGCTGCCACCACCACATGGTGATAGACATGTAAAGCATCAGGTTAGTCCAAACAAAGTTCATAGAGTAGAAAAGTGCAATTTTCATCTGCTTTCTTATTTTTTTAAACTGATCTCAACTCTAAACCAAACTAGACATTATATACTTGCAAGATAATATTTAAGGTGTAGACATATCCTACTTAGGAACAAATTCTAAGACTGAGATGTGCACACATTGCTTCACTGCAACCACACCAAATACATTATAAAAGCAAGCAAGCTATTTGAAAATCACCTACAGATTATGTAAGCAATTGGATTTTTCAAGCTTATTTTCAAGTGCTTTTTTCTCCTTGTCACAGTACAGGCAGTCCCCGGGTTATGTACAAGATAGGGACTGTAGGTTTGTTCTTAAGTTGAATTTGTATGTAAGTCGGAACTGGTACATATTGTAGGGGAAACTCTAGCCAAACATTTCTCCAGAGCTCAGTTTTATTCTCCCACAACTCACTTCCCTCAGTCCTTTATTCTCAAGCTGAGGTGTCTGCTGAGAAGAGCCGCTCCGCGTCTCCTTGGTCTGCTGGGGGTGGCGCTAGCTTCACATCTCCCTGGTCTGCTGGGGGGAAGCAGCTAGTGCGGGGTTGTCTCACCCCGTTTGTAAGTAGGGATCCGATGTAAGTCGGATCCATGTAACCCGGGGACTGCCTGTATATATATATAATTTTGTATAAAAAATTGTGGGAGAGGAGACTGAGAGCTGGATGAGTTTACTAGGTCAGTTATATAAAATGATAAAGCAATTAACACTGACTGCAGCAATACTTCCTGGTGACAGGGGAACTGGCCACTGCAGTCCTCCAACTGCTAAAACCTGTTTAGGATATTTGTTGGCAGAATAGAAACAAAAAGTATGTTTGAAATTTGGGAGCCAACGATTATTCAACAAATAAAATGCTAATCTCTATCTACTACTATCCAAATTTAAAACAGGAAGCAGAGGCACGAGCAGATTAATTCATGTGCAATAGCTTTAGTAAAAGCTCATATTTGATTTTCAAACTTTATTTTTAATACCTAGTAATTTTAGGGGTAAATGCTGCATCACTGTATTAAGACCTTAAGGGTCACAAACAAGTAAATTGTAGGTCTTTGCAAAGAATAAAATAAAGGTCTGCATGAAATACTTTAACTTACTAGCATAATAAAACCTTAACATTAATTATAACTTACATCTTCCATAAATTACATCTCTATAAAGAGAATAAGTACTTAAAAAACATAATACATTTTGCCAGCAATAAAGGAATGTAGTACCTTTTCTAGGTCTCTAATAAAATAATTTGATTAAGTTAAATATAGAGCTATTGAGAAATCTACAACAATTAAGATATGAGCAACCATAAATTGCTCTGTTAGCAAAATAGTGCATGCAGTACTTTTTAAAATTAAGTTTTTAAAATTTTGGGATGGTTATAAATACAGAATCCAGTATTTGAAAATACAGTTAGAATACAGATGCAGATGATAAATGCTTCTATACATTTATAATGAAACATGTTAATCAGTTTTTAAAATAATAGAAATATTACTGAGAAAACTGAATTATGTTTTGATGGCCTGGTTTGAAAGAGTGACACAATAATTAATATAGATTGCAGCTTAAGGGAACAAAAGATATTCATAAAGCAGTACAAATTAAGAATAATCTAGTCACATTAAACAAACAGATTTTCATTCAAGATTTTATGTTGAGATGAATGCATACAATGGATTATATGTTAAATGCAACACATATAAACATAAATGTAATATAGTGTTAAACAGATACTTAAATTAACACTAAAATGATACAGTATTTACAATCCTATTTTCATAACTATAATCTGTATGATCATCTTTAAACATAGTAGAATCTTCCACTGTACATTTAAAGGATGAGGGTTTCAAGAACTTTGGTTTCAATTATTTTGTATAATCTTAACATTGTATATTTCTTATTCAATCTGCTATATTAGAAAAATGTAACTACCAATAAATTATTCCAATTTTAACTAAATACAGCTGCAACGTTATACTTAAGTTACTGATAAGCAAACTGGTAGCCCCCTTACCTAGATATATTGTTAAAGCTGAGAAACAGATGTTGGAGGCAGGGCAAAGTATCCACATCTTTCTAGAAAGAATGAGAAGCAAATTCATGAGGGGAAAAAGAACATCTTTTGAACCTCTCTACTTGTCCTGATGATGATATATACACACTTCTATTTTCTGTAACCTTGCTGCAACATTGATTTCTGTTGAACATGCAGCTCCACTCCTCTCTGGTGCAGACTTCAAGGGAGTGCTTCAGTGCAGATATCTATTCTGCAGAACAAGCTGCACCACTTGCAAGGTAAATAGCTAAATAGCTTTAAAGAGAAAGAGCTGATAACCTTTTTTAACAGGCTTTCAGGAAAAGAGCCAAGGTGCTTGCCTCAGCATTCAAGCTTCAGGCAAGCATACTGTAATCAAACTGCATAAATATTAATTTGATTTTCTGACCATTCTGCACTAAAATTTCCAAGTGTAAACTCATAAATTAGCTTCCAAATTGCAGTAGCCGTACTGTCAGTGAAAGACTTAAATAAGGATTCTCCCCTATCAACCAACTCACTAGCTTTTAAATTATACAAAAATCCCAGACACAAAAAACAACATATAGATAGCTTTTAAAAGATTTTACTCCAGAGTCGATGTATTTTAACTATGTAAAACTGTTATAAATGTTTTAACATGCTATTATAAATCCTTTGGAATATTTGAAATATTTTCTTTTTAAACATGTTGAATTAGAAGTTAAGAGCAAGTGGTATTTGCAAAATACAAATCCACATTTATTAGAAACAGTGGTCTGTCGTTATCTATCCACACACTCATTTATTACATTAAGTACATCTCCCCACCCTGTATAAAACTATTCTCCAACTTGCAGCTGTGGATATGAACACACCTAATCCAAGTACTAGGAGACTGGCGCAGGGGCAGGCCATTTGTTTGTTTGTTTTTCCAGTAGGTAGGCCCATATTCCCACCCTCCATCAGATTTACTCTCCATGACTTATACTTGTGATTATAATGTAGCACTTTAAAGACTAACAAGATGGTTTATTAGATGATGAGCTTTCGTGGGCCAGACCCACTTCCTCAGATCAAATAGTGGAAGAAAGTAGTCACAACCATATATACCAAAGGATACAATTTAAAAAAATGAACAAATATGAAAAGGACAAATCACATTGCAGAACAGAAGGGGGATGCGGGGGGGTGGGAAGGGGGAGGAAGGAAGGTAAGTGTCTGTGAATTGCTGATATTAAAGGTAGGGAGAGTGGGATGTTTGTGAGTTAATGGTATTACAGGTGATAATTGGGGAAACTGTCTTGGTAATGGGTGAGAAAGTTCAAAGACTTGTTAAGTCCTTGTTGGTAAGTGTCGAATTTTAACATGAATGACAGTTCAGAGGATTCCCTTTCAAGTGCAGATGTAAAAGGTCTTTGTAGCAGAATGCAGGTGGCTAAGTCATTTAGAGAGTGTCCTTTCTGGTTAAAGTGGCAAGAAACTGTTTTCTCTTTGTGATCTTGTCTGATATCTGTTTTGTGGGCATTAATCCTTTGGCGAAGTGTCTGAGATGTTTGTCCAATGTACATAGCAGACGGACACTTTCGGCACATGATAGCGTAGATTATATTTCTGGATGCGCAGGAATATGTGTTCTTGATCTTATAACTCACTTGGTTAGGTCCAATAATGGTATCAGCAGAATGAATATGTGGACAAAGCTGGCAACGGGGTTTGTTGCAAGGGAAGGTACCAGGGTTGGTATTAGTGTGGTATGTCCTGTGGTGGTTGGTAAGAATCATCTTGAGGTTAGGTGGTTGTCTATAGGAGACTATGGGTCTGTCTCCCAGAGCCTCTTTGAGTATGGTATCCTGTTCCAATATAGGCTGTAGTTTATTGATAATGTGTTGGACAGGTTTAAGTTGGGGGTTGTAGGTGATGACAAGTGGTGTTCTATTGTTGGTTTTCTTGGGTCTGTCTTGAAGTAGATGGTTTCTAGGTATTCGTCTGGCTCTTTCAATTTGCTTTTTTGTTTCTCTGGGTGGGTAGTTGAGATTTATAAATGCTTGGTAGAGATCCTGAAGCTTCTGGTCTCTGTCAGTGGGGTTAGAGCAGATGCGGTTGTATCGAAGGGCTTGGCTATAGACGATGGATCGTGTGGTGTGTTCTGGATGGGAGCTGGATGCATGTAGGTAACTGTATGAGTCAGTGGGTTTTCTGTAGAGAGTGGTGTCTAATTTTCCATTGTTGATTTGTACGGTGGTGTCCAGGAAGTGGATCTCTCGTGTAGAATGGTCCAGGCTGAGGTTGATGGTGGGGTGTAGGTTGTTGAAATCTCTGTGGAATATCTCCAGTGTTTCTTGGCCATGTGTCCAGATCATAAAGATGTCATCGATGTACCGTAGGTAGAGGAGGGGTGAAAGGGGACGGGAGTTGAGGAAACGTTGTTCTAGGTCAGCCATAAAGATGTTAGCATACTGTGGGGCCATGCGTGTACCCATGGCTGTGCCGCTGATCTGGAGGTATAAGTTGTTCTCAAACTGGAAATAATTGTGGGTGAGAACAAAGTTACATAGGTCTGCTATCAGGTTGGCAGTAGTGTCCTCTGGGATAGTGTTTCTAATTGCTTGTAATCCGTCTTCATGTGGGATGTTGGTATATAGAGCTTCTACATCCATGGTGGCAAATACTATTTGATCTGAGGAAGTGGGTCTGGCCCACGAAAGCTCATCATCTAATAAACCATCTTGTTAGTCTTTAAAGTGCTGCATTGTCCTGCATTTTGCTTCAACTACCCCAGACTAACACGGCTACATTTCTATCACTTGTGATTATGGCTGATGTGGGGAAAGAGCAGGACAGAAATAAACCTACAAGCTAGATGTTAAGAGATTGTGTGCATGGTGATTCTTACTCAAATCCTCAGTGTCTAGCTGATCACAATACTGTGGGATGTGAAGGAATTTTCTTTGGATCGTAGTCTGCCATAGACACCATGATTTTTACAGCTGCCAACCCTCCAGGAATGTCCTGGGATCTCCAGAAACTAAAAATTAATATTGTAATGTGATAGAACCTCCAAGAATATGTCCAACCAAAATTGGCAACCCTGCACTGGAATAGCTTGCAAACATCTCAAATATGGGTATATGTTCACCCCAGGTACTGTACAGAGGACACAGACTAACTGAATTCCTTCTTCCTCCAGTTTAGCTCATTCAGGCAGAGGCTCTATGCTCTGGACAAAAACTGCCCCTTGTGGGGCTGGAACAGTCCCCTGCCTGCAGCAGGCAGAGCGCTCCTCAAGCCACCACTGGTTGGTTACCAGTTAACTAGAACCAGAAAGCATCACCTCATGTCTTTGGGTTCCTAACATGATTTCTGAAATCTTTGGGTTAGCAATACTGCTGCTTAAGATTAACTAAGATTTGAAGTTGCAACTAACATATAAGATATTTGTATTCCATAATTATTCTGTCACGTTATATTAGGTACACCACCCACAGCATCTGTGCAAAAAAAACCTATTCTTTTTAGTACCAAAATTAAATGATAATTCTTCTATTTTAGTCCTGAAATAAAAGAGGTCTGTTTACCCCATCTACTCCTGAGTCTCCTGTTTCTTCTCTAATACATAGAATTTTGGGATACTTCCCATAGACTCCTGGGACCTAAATCAAGTGTATCTGGTTCTACATAGGGTAGTGGTGGTTGGAGACTTTCTTCTGGGGGGGAACAAAAGGACCCATCTGTCACCTTGACATGACGTCCCGGGATGCATGTTGCCCGTCAGGAGCCCATATCTGAGACGTGGTGCAGGAACTGTCAAGGATCATCCAGCCCTCTGATTACTATCCCATACTACTCTTTGATGTGGGCACTAATGATACTGCAAGGTGTGACCCAGAGCAGATTAAAAGTGACTACAAGGCTCAGAGTATGGGTGAAGGAGTCTGGAATGCAGGTGATGTCCTTGTCAGTCCTTCTGGTCAAAGATAGGGGTCCACGCAGAAACAGGTGCATCCTGGAGGTGAATCCTTGGCTGTAAAGATGGAGTCACCAGGAGGTCTCTGACTTTCCTGATCATGGGATGCTGTTCCAAAAAGAGGGACTGCTAAGCAGAGATGGGGTTCACCTATCAAGGAAGGGGAAAGGAGTATTTGGATATAGATTGGCTAACCTGGTGAGGAGGACTTCAAACTAGGTTCGAGGAGACAGGTGACCAAAGCCCACAGGTAAGCAGACCTGGGAGAGGGGTCAGAAATTGGGAGGGGAGCATTGGCTATAATAGCAGAGATAAAGGAGAGACCAGGCAGAATGGGGGGGGATCGGGACATGTCAGTATCTTAGTGTACTTTATCCAAATGTAAGAAATGTGGGGAATAAGGAGGAACAACTTGAAATGCTAGTAAATAAATACAACTATGTCATAGATGTCATAGATGGTATCAGAGACATGATAGGATAATATTCATGATTGGAATATTGGTATAGAAGGGTATAGCTTGCTCAGGAAGGATAGGCAAGGAAAAAGGGAGGAGGGGTTGCCTTATATATTAAAAATGTATATACTTGGACTCAGGTTGAGATGGACATGATAGACAGACTTGTTGAGAGTCACTGGGTAAGGTTAAAAGGGGTAAAAAACCAAGGATGATGTCATGCAAGGGGTCTACTACAGACCACCTAACCAGGAAGAAGAGGTGCATGAGGCTATTCTTAAACAGCTAACAAAATCATCCAAAGCACAGGATTTGGTGGTGATGGGGGACTTCAACTATTCCCTGTTCCACTCACTGGAACCCTCATTTTTGGCCCCACCTCAAAGTGTAGAGGGGCCCACAATTCCACTTATCCTGGAACCCCAGAAGAGTTAATCTGGCCTGAGGCCTTGAACCTCAGTACTACCTACCCTCCCTCCATGGGGCTGGGGTGCTAGAGGAGGGAGGTGTCTCAGTTGGAGCCACATCAGTGAAGCTTGGAGGAGCTGTTTTTTGCATCTCACTTGTGTGATCCCTGACTGATTTTTCTGTGGGTCAGTGACCCCTGACCCAAAACAGGTTCCCCACCCATCCCATCA